TTCATGCACATGCTGAATCAGGTCTAAAGTATTTTTAAAACAGTTATAATTTCTTTTGTAGTTTTGTTTTCTGCATTATCTATGTGAATATTAAAATCCCCTGCAATAGCAAAACAGTCCAACTCTGAGGAAATCATTGATAGCATGTCTGTGAACTCTTCAACAAAGGCTGGAGAGTATTTTGGAGGCCTGTAAATAATGATAAACAGAATGCGTGGAGCACCTTTCAACACAATCCCTAGATATTCAAAAGACAAGTACTGACCAAATGACACTTGCTTGCATTGATAGACATCTTTAAATAGAGCAGCTACACCTCCACCTCTCCTAACAGTCCTGCAAACACTCATGAAAGTGAAGTTAGGAGGGGCTGTTTCATTGAGGACCGTTGCACTGCAGCTGTCTTCTAGCCATGTTTCATTTAGAAATATAAAATCCAGGTTGTTTGTGGTTATTAAGTCATTGATTAGAAATGATTTATTTTTTAGTGAGCGAATGTTTAAAAATGCTAACTTGATGGCATTGCATTTTGTCTCAACAGCAATATTAGTTTGATGCATAACAGGTCGCAGATTAGATAAGTCAGCCGTACAGCTTAAGAAAGCCTTAGACTTTCTATCACATGATAAAACAGAAATAGAGAAAACTACAGGCACGCTGGGTTCCCGCTTGTTCTGTAAACATTTGTGAATGTTGCTGCTATTATAGCGGGGACCCGACACATATCACTGAGAGCTGTTATCAGTTGTTTTTGGTTCACCTACAGCAGATGGAGGGTTTGGGGCCTGGCGTTTAACACAAATGTAATTGGTCACATTTACAAAAACTGGTGATTATGTTCCTGTATATGCAAATGTATCTTTATGTATCAACCTTTTTCCTAAAGAGCTTACTGTGTTTTAAGGCTGAAACAAATCATTTCAAATCATAAGGTTGCGCTACAAATGACTCTTATCAGTTTGACTGAATGAGCTGTTTGTTTGTTTTTTTTGTAAAAAAAACAAAAAGTTTTAACATATAACTTAGTATTTTAAGACAGTAGTGTGTGGAACAGCCTTCAAATATCAAAACAACATCAGACTGATGTGTTTCTGCAGAAATGTGCTTGTGTCTGGACATTTTTACACCAGAATCTGACTTGCAAGTGTATTTAAGGCTTCATTAGCGGGCTTCACCAACACAGGTACAAATGGAGTTTTTAACTTTTAAAAATAGAAAACATATTTTATATATATATATATAAGCAGATTAATTCATGTTTTTAATGAATTGCCTTAATAGGCATCAATTTTCCTAAAAAAAAAATTATAATTTTTGTTACTCTCGACTTTTGTAGTATGTGTGTGTCTGTGAAATCTGCTTTGGATGAGTTAAAACCATTGAATAAATAAAAATTATACTTCAGAAAATTGCATGATGTTTATTAGACAAGACTCGATGATCTCTGTTAAATCTGTTTAGTGACTGTTCTAAAAGTGATGACTGACAGAGAAACGGTTTGTTCTTCAGGTGTGAGTGATACAGGAGTGAAGTCAGTGTCAGTGCTGGTGGGAGATTCTGTCACTCTAAACACTGATGTTCCTGATACACAAATATGTGATGAGATACAGTGGAGGTTTGATCATCAGAACTCTCCTGTAGCTGAAATCAACAGAATAGCTGGAATCTTCAACACATCTGATGGTGCTGATGGGAGATTCAGACACAGACTACAGCTGGACTATCGGACTGGATCTCTGACCATCAGGTTCATTGGAAACAGACACTCTGGACTTTATGAAGCTGACATCACCAGTACTGGCATCAAACACACCATACACAAGTCATTCAACGTGACTGTCAGCGGTGAGTCCATCAATGTAAAAATGTGTGAATACTTAAGATGGGGGAAAAAACAGATGTTTGCATTAAATTAACTGTTTAAAGCTAAGAAACTGTTTGTGGTGCTGTTAGTTTAGTAACACTTTCAAAGAAGTAAAGTGTGAAGTGTTTGAAAGTGTGTGACAGACACTTAATTTCTCTATCTGTTCATTATTCTTGTTGTGTTCAGTTTTATATGCACTATTTGATCAGATGAACACATTTCTCTTCTCTTTGTCATTCATTTGAAGGAAATGTCCTGTTAGACCTGAAATGTGCTTTTCTGAACATTAAAGTGGTGCTGTAAAAATTAAACTAGGAAAAATTTTACAAATTAATTATTTGATTAATTAATTGAAAATTAAACAACTGAAAGGTAAATGAGCTTTAATAGACAAGGCTCACTGAGATTTGTGAAGTGAAATGTAAAAAAAATCTTCCTGTATGTATTTAATTTATGTCTGATTCGCTGTTCCTCACTGTTCTTCATGTGTTTGTTGTTGTGACAGATGCAGTGAAGTCAGAGTTAGTGACGGAGGGTGAAACCGTTACTTTACAGACTAATGTTAGTGAAATACAGAAAGATGATCAGATACTGTGGATCTTTGGAGATATTGTCATAGCTGAAATCTATAAAGCAGCCCAACGATTCCACATATATGATGGTCCTGATGAGAGATTCAGAGGCAAACTGAATCTGGACAATCAGACTGGATCTCTGATCATCACAGACACCAGAATCACACACTCTGGACTTTATGAAGTTGAGATCAGCAGCAGCAGACACATCATACTCAGGAGAATCACTGTTACTGTCAGTGGTGGTGAGTAGATCAAATCTGTCAATATAAAGGTGAACTTATTTAGATCAGAGCTCTAAGAACAATAAAGTTAAAAGAACACAAGTGTTCACAACTCTACATTTCATTGGAATAGTAAAACATAACATTTGTATTTCTATTTTGTCGGCCTCTCCGAGAGGTTTGCTGAAAAATAATACAAGATATCATCTATCTTCCAAACCGCTTATCCTATAGTGGAGTCTATATATGCTGGAGTCTATGCCAGCTTTGTGAAATTTGAGCACCCATTAGACAAGGTTAACAGGCTGATCGGAGATCAGAAAGAATTCACTCACCGGGGAGGCCTCTGTAATCACATGGCGTTTCACACATACACAACATTCATATTGTATAATAGATCTCCTCACTGTGAACAACTTTGCCTCAAGAACCCCTGCTGTTAATCAAACTGTTTGTTAAATATTTGAGATATTTAAAAATCATACTTTTGCAAAGTAGTCCTACGTTTTTCATTCAACATCAGTTAAACCTAAGCAGTACAATTCTCTGGACTCTCTATGTCAATAATTATCAAAAATATGTTGAACTTTTGCATTTGGAAAGTTATAACTGGGCCATTTAAAAATATGGGCTTAATCTTGTGAACCCAAAAGCCTATAAATCTAAAAGAAAACTCAGAACTTCACAAAATTAGGTAAGCAAATGCGTCATATCATTCTAAACAAGCATACAACATTTTATGGAGATTGGGCAAAAGTTGGAGTTATAAAGGTTAAAAACACTGTATGTAACCACTAGATGGCAGCAGAGGACCGCTCATTGGCTCATTCCACTCACTAAATATAGTTGTTTTCACAGGTTTTCCTTTTGAATTTACATTTAGATATTATAAAATCAAGCACATTTAGTCAAAGTGTATCGCTTCATTTAAACTGAGGTGTCAGTTTTTACATTTATGCCACATTATGATTACAGTGAAACCTGAAAATGGTGTTATAAAGAGAAGACTTGCACTTAAGCATTTTGTTACCATTTCTTTTTTATTTCATTTATTTCAAATATCAATATATACAACAAAATGTGCATTTAAGTATGCTTAGTGTGTATACTTCTGATTATGCCAAATGTCTGATTTTACCAGTAAAAAAGGATATATTTCTATGTAGCCAGTGACAGAGTGCAAGCATATGTATTGAACCAAATGTCTTAGAAGTAATAATAATAAAAAAAACTAAATTAAAAAAAACGTTTGCTTTGGCTTAAAATATTGTGATAGTATTATAAGTTCACACTAATCAAATTGTGACATGAGGGTGTTGTTACGCCACTAATAGGGAGGCAGAACAGTAGAAGAGGCTGAGGACATGGATGTGTTTCTAATTTGTGTATCATTTGGAATTGTGTATCATGTTCTCAATCATTACCTTACTGTGCCCAAGGTGGGTCAATAGTTGAAGCCGAATGTTGAGAAAACAACCATATCCTCAATCAATCAAGCATTTTGTAGACAGAACAGGTATTTCAACAATCTGCACAGTACTGTAATGCTGTATACTTACTGTAACACTTTATATTACAGTAGTCCACTTGCATTTTACTTAGTAAATATACTTACGGGTATACATACTGTAACACACACATAAACACACAAATGTAGTCTAAACATACAGTTTGTGACTGTCTCTCTCTATCATTACAGTATCAGATCTTCACTCAGGTTATATAGCACTGATGTTTGTAGTGTGTGTTAGAGATCAGACACACTTTCACACTAATGTCCGTCTCTCTTTATCATTACAGTATCAGATCTTCACTCAGGTTATATAGCACTGATGTTTATAGTATGTGTTAGAGATCAGACACACTTTCACACTAATGTCCGTCTCTCTTTAGCTGTTCCAGATTCAGGTCTGTCTCGAGCTGCTGTAGTAGGGATTGCTGTTGCTGTTATTCTGGTGCTTGCAACTGTAGCTGCTGTTCAGATTTACCATCACCACAAGATCTCTAACCTAGAAAGATGTATTGGTAAGTATCACACAAACCGTTCATATAATATGGAAAAAAAAACGAAAAGTTTGATTGTTATTAAGACAGTTACAGATGAAGGGCAGATTCTGATCTACTGTGAGCTGCGTCTCCGTGAGTCTGTAGAAAATTCAAACTTAACGGTTTCTGCAGATATTACGATAGTGTTTGATCTCTAAATCTTTTTAGCATGTTTATATTTGTAGGAGTATGATGTGCCTTCATACTAATGATGGTATTAAAGATATTCAATATTAAACAGCGTTGCAAATCAATAAAACTGTTCATCTCTAAACAGCATTACAAAAGTAACACACAAGTATTAAAGAAAACTCTGACCTTGTGCTTTTTAAAACTAAACCGTGTGTCTTTCTGATAGTGTTGTAGTACTCGAGACTGGTCTTGTTTTTTTTTAAGGGTCTTGTCTTGGTCTCGACCACATTTGTACTCCGTCTTGTCTCAGTCTCAGACTTAGAGGACTCAGGATTTCATTTCAAAACTGGTCGAGGCCACAACTGCAGGGATAGCACTAAATTACTGGTACATTGTCTGATTTATTTAACATCATTAATGTGATGTAAACTTCCTGCTTTAAATGCAATCAGTTAACTTTATCATTTTATTTCTTCTGATACTGCTGTACGCAGAATTTAATGTAGAATTGTGCCAAAACTTTTATCAAAATAAATACACATGTCCAAAAAAAGACTTTATACAAATGTTAAACAAACAAGAAGTATTAAGTGAATTACATTTTAGAAACTTTTTTTTTTTTAATGCAATCAATAACAACTGTTGTGTTTCTGAGCAACATGGTTTATGCTGGTTTGTGGACCTTTTGATCAGGGGTTTTTATCAGTCTGTCTGTTTACAAGTTACCAGGTTAATAAAGTGAGCATTTTTGAGTATGAGATAATGACTGTTTTCAAAGGTTGTGGGAGTTTTGTTTCTGACACTAGTAACAATTTACAAGCAGAACTATATATTCTGCTTTATGTCTGTGATGTCTGTTACTGTTGGACAGAGTCTAGACACATTTCTGGCACATAAAAACTAAATAAAACTGTGATTGGCTACTTTACATGTCAGTTAGATGGCTCTTCGTGTCTAAGAGGGTTCTTGCCTGCCTGTAACAATAAAAGATTTACAGTTAATTAAAATCTGTTTGCTTTCAGCACCTCAAAGGAGCCAATCAAGAAGAAAATATGTAAGATGCGTGTGATATGGATTTATTCCTGTTGTTCATTCAGACATCATGACATTAACATCATTAATACACATATAAAGACAGAGCCGACCTTAACTTCATCTCTTTTTGTGTAAATGATTTTTCTCACTGATTTTTTTGTTTTTCTGACTACATCTTACAAAGATTTGAGATGGTTTTTTTGGAAAATAAGAGAAGATACTGCAGTTTAAAAGAAAGTCATTTACTGGTTTTAACAACAGCTTCATTCTTCAAACAAACAGTTTAGTTTCAGCAGGAGCCCTTACTCTGTGTTCATAACCCTCA